TCCTCTCTCATCATTTTCTTTCTCTTCACACCTGAAAAAACCATGCACTGGAAAGCAAGAGACTGGTAGGTGAAATCTTATTAAATTTGTCCTGTGCTTACTCTCCAAACCATTGATTTCTTTGAAATACAACATTTATTTAAAATCTTATAATTCTTTTTGACTGTTCTTTTAAGGTTCTTCTAGAAATAGGTTACAAGTTAGACTTGCCTAATGCGTTGAAGTTTCTTTTTTATTAGTATGTGTTTGCAATACATGATGTATGTGTCCCTCTTGCGGAGGTGGTAGACAGAGCACGTCTTAATCCCCTTTTCATCCCTTTCCCTCCTTTCTCCTCTGCCCCTCATCTCTTGGTCCCTTCCCATTTGACGAAGATCTATCTCCCTACTTTCTATTATCTGTCTTTCATTTTGGTCTTTATTTATAATCTGAATTTCTCATATAAGAGAAGCCATGTGATACTTAAGCTTGTGTGTCTGATTTATTTCCTTAAGATTATGGTCTCAAGGTACATTTATGTACCTAAAAATGCCTCAAGTTCATCTTTCTTTGTGGTAAAGTAGTACTCTACTTTCCTTATCCATTTATCTGTTGATGAACATATAGACTACTTCCAAGATTTAGCTATTATGAATTGTGCTCCTATAAACATGGGTATGCATGTGTCACTGTAATTTGATGTCTTTAATTCTTTTGGGGAGATACCTAGAAGGGGAATAGCTGGGTTAAAGGGAACTTCTAGTTTTAATTTATATATTTTTCAATTTTAAAGACAATAATAAAAAACAATAAAAATGATACAGAATTTCAAAACAAGATGATATAAAATTAATAATGGCTGTTATATTGCATATTGTTATCATCAGCAAAGTAGTTGCTCAGATTATCAGATACAGGCATGCAAAATTGATCAAACAATATAAGCACTAACTGTTCCTTTCAACGAACTGGTAGAAATTAGTAGTAGAATTATCTTAGCTATCTTGTGTGTGTGTGTGTATATATATTTTTTCTCCCTTCCTTCTTTTTCCTTTCCCCCAGGTTGTGAAAAGGAAAGAAACTACTCTAGTTTTAATTTTTAGGAATCTCCTTACTGAGTTCCGTAGTAGTTTTACTAATTTACATTACCACTAACAGTGAAGAATGGTCCCTTTTCCCTCAGTCTTGCCAGCACTGGCTATTTTTGATTTCTTGATGACAGTCATTCTTTCTGTGGTAAGGTGGCATCTTTGTGTTGTTTTAATTTGCATTTGTTTAGTGGCCAGAAATGTTGAACATTTCTTCATGTATTTATTGGCCATTTGTCCTCCTTCTGTGAAGTGTCTATTCATTTCACTTGCCCATTTTTTGGATTGGATGTTTTATTTTGGGGGTCTAATTTTTTAAAGTTCTTTATATATCCTAGATATTAGCCCTCTGAGGAATAGATGTCAAGAATTTTTCCTATTCTGTTGGTTGTCTTTTCACTCTGCTGGTTGTTTCTTTTGCCATGCAGAAGCTTTGTAATTGGATATAATCCATTTGTTGATTCTCAGTACTATTTTCTATGCAACTAGGGTTCTTTGTTCAGAAAGTCCTTGCCTATCCCTATGACTTTAAGAGTTTCACCTGTTTTATCTTCCAGCAGGTTAAGTGTTTCTGTTTTAACATTAGTTCTTGATTCATTTTGATGTTAGTTTAGTATGTGGTGACAGATACAAGTCTAGACTCATCTGTTCTTCTGCATGTGTATAGCCAGTTTTCCCAGCACCATAGAATAAAGAGGATATCTTTCCTTCAGTGTGTTTTGGTCCCTTTGTCAGATCAAATAATTAAACGTCATCCAGTTAGATTTCATATATGCCTTTCAGAGGTCAGAACTTTCCTCTCCAGATGTGGGATTGAAAGTGTGGAAGGGACACTTGGCACCATGAACTCCGCCCACCTGGGTCTGGGGCTTTTAGCTGGTTCAGTCCTACTGTCTCCTGGGACCCTAAGTGTGTCAGTGTCTTCTTGATGTGGGAGAAAGTTTTGTTTTTCCCATGAAACAGTTTGTATCACTCTAGTAATGGACCACTTACTGTGATTATGAAATGTTAAAACAGCAGAATCCACGTGTATAGAAGAATTTGGACATTTAGTGAGTCAATACAATAGGATAATCAGTAGAATTTGTGCAAGTGTATACACCAAATCAAACAGGCTTACGTGATGGGGAAATCCAGTCACTCAGCTAATGGAAAGATCCAGAAAAAGTCAGGCTTGGAGCAGACTGGAGCTGGGGAGGATACACAGATAGGTCCTGGTCTTGCTTTGCTGGGACAGCCTCAGGCTGCCTATCTCCAGGGTGAAAAGATGGTGCTCAACAGCAGTGAGGGCTCTTTGGGATTTCAGTCGTGCTTACCAGGGGAGATAGAGCTCAGCTTTGTAGTAGCTGTCTCCAAAGAAAGAAAGTTCCTCCCTAAAAAATGTCTGTATTCATCTCCTTTGCTTGAGTGAGGTCATGTGCCCACCTTGCAATGAACTCTGCGAATGCCACTCCAGCCATTGTGCAGGTGGGCTGGTTCCTGCTGGTCACCACAGTCACCAAGGGGAGGCCACAGAGCAGCAGACAGGCAGGTGAGAGAAGTGGAGGAAGGGCCACATGAGTGAGTGTGAGTGGGCACTATGGTGGGACATGCAGACCCGGGACCTACAGAATGGACAGGCATTCAGTGGACAGGAAGGGGAGAAAGTGAAAAGAAAGTCATGCTGGGAAACAGCAGCGTGGGAGCCTGAAGTGCAGCTGGTGTAGAAAGAGGAGTGCTCCAGAGCACGGTGCCATGGTGGCAGCCAGGAAAGCATGATTTTAACACTGGCAGGGTCCCTCTTCTGGACCTGGGGTGAACTTCTCCAAGAGCACTTGAAGGTTGGGCTAAGAGGTCTGAGTGTCCTCCACTGACAGACATGAAATCCTCCAAGAGGAACAAGGTGAGTTCACTTCGCTTCGTAGTGTCTACCTGCTTCTAGAAGGAAAGGCTTCCCATTATTCCTCTTTAATATTCTTAGCTTTATGCGAGGTACAAAGGACACTCATTGAATCCTCTTCAAAGATGAAGGTGCACAGGATTTAGCAAATAACACTCCCCGTGGACTGTAACCTGCCTTCACTGGTGGTGATGGGACTCTACAGAGAACATGTCTTTCTGGTGGTCGAAACAAAATGTTAAACAAAAAAGAAACAAAATAATCTGAAAGGCCCCCAAATCCCACACTTAGCTGCTCTCTCTTGGGTGGTGTGGGCCAGTCTCACTGGGCAGGTGATGTGGAGACCAGGTGTTCAGGCCCTCGTAGGGTCTTGAGGTGCAGACTGTTGGAGAACTTCGTGATTTTGCTGCTACTGCAGCAGTTTGATGTGAGTGGAATGATCAGAGCCTGGGTGGACAGCAACTTGGCCCAGGACCTCTTATCTCTTGGGAGGTACTGTCCTGGGCTCACAACCCTGTCCCTAATGTGCTCCTCCAATTCCACTTCCTCTAAACCTCCAAATTGGCAAACATGTGCCCTTGCGCTCCTGGAAAAGCTTATTTCTTCCCAGCCCTTCCTCTGGTCTCTGTACCCTAGGGACACTGCCAGGCCTCCTGCTGGTTCCTTCCTTTCACCCTGTATTTTGGTCCCCTTACTTGCTACTGACGGGCCTTGGGACTCCCGAGCACCGTGACAGGCATAGGATTGCATTCCTTGGAGAAGCCCAGATTCCTAACCAGCTCAGAAGTCTTGACTGCTCTGGGCCTGGGTTTACTAAAAGGAAAGGATGGAAAGAAGGAAGAAAGGCAGGCAGGCAACAAGGAAGGCAGGCAGGCAGAAAAGGAGTCAGGAAGGAGGGAAGGGAGGCAGGAACGAAGGCAAGAAGAAAGAAAGGCAAGAATGAATGAATGAAGGGAAGAAGGAGCACAGGAAGAAAAGGGAGGCAGGAAGGAAGACAGACAAGAAGGAAGAGAGCCAGGTAGGTAGGAGGGCAGGCAGGAGGGAAGGCAGGAAGGGAGGACGACAGGTAGGTAGGAAGGAAGGAAGGCAAGAAGAAAGCAGGAAGGACGGCACGAGGGCGGCAGCGTGGTGAGGACGCTGACTTCCTTGCTGCTGGGAGGGCTTGCTGAGGTATGGACTTGGGGCTGTAGCACGAACACTGGTAGATGCTCCTCCCTGTTTTCCTGTTGTACACAGACAGGAAGCTGAGCAGGGGCTCTGGGTGGAAGACCTGTTCTGTCAGCATTAGGAGCCCACCTCCACTCAGCTCTGCTGACCTGAGTTCTGCATGGAAGAAAAGGTAGCAGTGTTAGTCCCTCCTCACTTCCCACAAAGGTCAGGTGAACTAATAGATAAAAACGTTTGCAACCCTTCCAGTCATCTCACTTTGCACAAGATTTCACTTCTGTATCCTGGCTCCAGGTCGCTGCTTAGGCTGGGCACGCTGAAGGCCCTCCCTGAGAGGCGGCCCCCTTGCCCACCCTTGCTGCCCAGCTGTGGGGCCTGGGCAGCTCCCTCCTCAGCAACCCTGACCCAGACTCCCAGGGTCCAGCAGCTCTGTCCTGGAGCCTCCCCACACTCACCAAACAGCTCTTTTGTGGATCTCCTCTGCGTGATGCTCTGGCACGATAAGGTGACCCTGCTGCCATTGCTCAGGAAATAACCACAATCCCCTCAGCCCTAGGCTGCAGTGTGGTTGCTCTGTCCTCTCGCGGAGAAAGGGGTCACTTACGTAGGGCTCAGTGGCCCCTAGAAGGCTTTGCACTGCTCGATCAGGATGCTGTTCCGGGGACAGAAAGATGCTATTTGTCGTCCAGCGACAGCGAAGAGCTTAGTCCAGGCCTTTTTAGCTCTTTTGACCTGTACCCAATATTTTGCCTCAAGAAACAGACAATTCCTGTCCCCACTTAGGCTGTTTCAGGATGGAGGAATAATTGAAATCACTGCCCAGCCCATTTAACAGTCAGGGTAACCTAAATGACAGAATCAGATGAAGACCGGGACACTGCCGACAAACCAGACCGGTTTTGGACGAATTACGCCTGGCGGCCGAGGATCAGCGACGTCGCGCCAAGAGAGCACTGCCTCAGCCCGGGCTGCACCTCGGGTCCGCCTGGCTCTGCTCCCCGCCTCTCGCGGCTGGGAGCTGGGACTGCGCAGCACTGCCTGGGGCGCAGCCCCTGGCGCTCCGCTCCCCACGCTTCCGGAGCCATCTGCCCAGGAAGCTCCGCGGAGGTCCAGGCCGTTCCTTCAGGAGTCTGCACCCTCAGCCCTTCTGGGGAAGACTCGGACCTTCCGCGGAGCGCAGGCCTGCCGGGGGCGACCCAGAGGCGCGGTCTCAGGCTTTGCCGCTGCGCAGCGCAGCACTGCTCTCCAGAGGACATCGCTGCCGGCCGCCCGACCCTGTGACAGGGGACCCCGTGCCCCATCAGCAGCAGGGCGACCGTGGTGCCAGCGCGGGCGCCCAGCCGGGAGCCTCGGGGCGCAAGGGCCGGGTACAGGGCAGGGCGGCTCCCGCCAGCGCGGGCTCCGCGCACGGTGTGTCCAGGCGGCGCGCCCCAAAGCCGGGAGAGAAGGCGGGACCGCGGAAGGCAGGCGACTCTTGCACAGGACGGTCAAGAGAGGCGTGGGACACTACCGTGGGCCGTCAGGACCGGCGTACGCACTCGGCTCCGGACCATCGGAGAAGGTGTGTGACATTCTGCACGGGACGGTCGCGTGGCGCGACCTCCCTCCGCCGAGCAGCCCTCCCGGCTGGGCTGGAGTCCGGTTCCGCAGCGGCCTGCTGCCGCGGCCAAGCCGGAGCACAGGTGGGGAGCAGGGAACTGAGGCTGGGCGTGGGGTGGGCCCAGGGGGCGGCTGAGACCGGGACAGGGGACGGAGACCAGGAGGCGGGTACAGAGACCAAGGGGCAGACGGGGACGGGGGTGCGCGGAGACAGACCGGGAAGGGGGTCGGAGACCGGGGATGCGGGACGAGACCGGGAAGGGGGCAGGAGACTAGGAGGGGGGCCGGAGACCAGGAGAGGAGGGGACAAGGCGAGGGTGGGCAGGGGATGAGTGGGGCCGGGCCTGGCGTGGGGCGGGGCAGGGGCGGGGCAGGTCCGGCCTGCACAGCGCTTGGTGTCCTAGGCACTGGACACGAAACCCCCGGAGCTGACTGGCTCTCCGGTGCCAGGGCCCGCGTGTAGACCTGACCGTCCCTGGAGTCCTGGGCCCCCGATGTCCAGATGGAGCTCAGTATTCAGCGCATACCTGCCATAGAGGCCTGAGATGCACCTCTCTCCCCAGCAGTGGGAGGACAAAAGGGCTTTTGTGTATAAATCTAGCAAGGAGAGATGTCTTGCTCTAGCACTTAACAAATGTAAATTACTTCTTCACATTGTGCTCACGTGGAATTTATGTAAGTACGAATCAAGCTTGTGGGATGGTTAAGGAAAGAACTGACTGAGGAGAAAGTAGCCCGACTTTCCCCAGTCTTCCTATGTGTACACGTGGTTAGCTTGGAGTGAAGATGGTGATACACACATACGCTGCCCAAGACCACTCTGTTTGGGATGAGCTTCCATCCGGAGCCTGGGTGGTGGTGGGTGACAGAGCCAGGACCTGTCTTTCCAGAGGTCTGTGTGTTCTCCGGAAATCTGAGCTCACTGCCAGAGAGTGGCTGGGACTTACGGGACTTTATAGCCTAGGATCTGGGGGCCAGGATGACAGGCATAAAAGGTGAAACTGCCCTGGGCCTATGGAGATGGTGCCCCTGTATGGAGAGGTGGGCAAGTCTGTGTGCTGGAGGGGCAGCGTCCCAGGGGCCCAGAGCTCTCAGGACTGTACTGGCCATCCCTGCTCTTAGGTGGTGTGTACTTGGGCATGCTGCTGTATTTTTAAAATATATTTTTCACCTCTTTGGATCACACAAAAACCTGTTTTACAGCAACTTTGCTGCCTTCAGCGATGAACTCCTCATTTCCCCTGCATTTCCTGAATCTCCACCTGAATGCCACTGAGGGCAACTTCTCAGGAGTAGAGGGTGGGAACAAGTCCTCACCGTGTGAAGACATGGGCATCGCTGTGGAGGTGTTCCTGACCCTGGGCCTTGTCAGCCTCTTGGAGAACGTTCTGGTGGTTGGAGCCATTGTGAAGAACAAGAACTTGCACTCCCCCATGTACTTCTTCGTGTGCAGCTTGGCGGTGGCCGACATGCTGGTGAGCGTGTCCAATGCATGGGAGACGATCGCCATCTACCTGATCAACAATGAGCACCTGGCAATCGCAGACGCCTCTGTGCGCCACATTGATAATGTGCTTGACTCCATGATCTGCATCTCTGTGGTAGCCTCCATGTGCAGCTTGCTGGCCATTGCAGTGGACAGGTACATCACCATCTTCTATGCCTTGCGTTACCACCACATCATGACGGCGAAGCGCGCCGGGGTGATCATCGTGGCCATCTGGAGCTTCTGCACAGGCTGTGGCATCGTTTTTATCCTTTACTATGAGTCCACTTATGTCGTCATCTGCCTCATTTCCATGTTCTTCACCATGCTGTTCCTCATGGTGTCCCTATACATACACATGTTCCTCCTGGCACGGGCCCACGCCAGACGGATCGCGGCTGCACCCAGATACAGCTCTGTGCGGCAGAGGGCCAGCATGCGGGGCGCTGTCACCCTCACCATGCTGCTGGGGGTGTTCATCGTGTGCTGGGCGCCCTTCTTCCTCCATCTCATCCTGATGCTGTCATGCCCCAAGAACATCTACTGCTCCTGCTTCATGTCTCACTTCAACATGTATCTCATCCTCATCATGTGCAACTCCGTGATCGACCCTCTGATTTATGCTTTCCGCAGCCAGGAGATGAGAAAGACCTTCAAGGAGATCGTTTGCTGCCATGGCTTCAGGATGGGCTGTAGGCTCCCTAGCAGGTATTAGACAGACACAGCCTTCTCCTTGCTGTGGCTGTCATTTCTCCCTTGAAAGTCCACTAGGTTTAGCAAGGGGGTCATCTGCAGCTCAAACCTGCCCTTCAGAGGAACAGCTGCTCTTCTGTGGCCGTTGCTGTGTCAGACATGCTCATGCTGTCATCCACCTTGCGGATGGGTGGTGAGAGTTCACCACTGTCCTTTTTTGCCCTACTACTTCTCCGCTCCCTCCTGCTTCTGGAGTTCTGCCCATCCTCCATCTAGGAAGAGTGTCCTCAGGAGATGCACCATGCCCCGAGTACAAGTCTGAGCATGATAAGGAGCAGGCTGCTGCTGCAAGTACGACTGAATGCCCATGTCAAGTAAGATTGCTTTTCCAGCTCAAAGCAGGTCTGTACCTTGCTTTGGGAATCAGGCATGTGTTTCAAGATGGGCAGACTGCCAAATCCTTTCCATTTGAAATTTCCTGTTCATTTGTCACAGGTGTCTCTAGAGCCCACCTTTCCTGAACTTACAGTTTTATGATTTATAATTACAATTGTCTGAGGATGGAATTTCCTTTATTATATTTCTGTCAATCATGGTTTTACACTTACTCGGATAAAACTTTGTGCTACAAAACTTGCCTCACGTGTTGTGGAGATTTCTATGTGTCCTCTTTCTGCCTTATTCCAGCTTAATTCAGGGACCCCAAGGGAGTGTTGGGGCTGTGTCGGGGTCCCTCTGCCCTGCCACATGTAGTGCAGGCCCACATCCAGGCTGGGTTTGGTCTGTCCTGGGGTCTGTGTCACTGTGTCCTGTTGTAGCATCTTAATCTGACCTGCACTGGGGGTCTGGGTCCCCCTCTGTTTCTCAGGAGCCCCACCTTCTCCATCTAAATGGAGGGGAGAACTTTGACTCTGTGGCCTTAAGCACCACATTCCAGAATCCATGTCTGTGCTGGCCTCCCAGGAAAACTGCGGGAGGAAATGGGAAAACTTCTTTTATCTTTCTAAAGTGTCACAAAGGTTTCCTCTATGTTGAAGGAATTGTCCAATGGGACAAAAGCTAAGTGGGGAGGCAGCGGCCAGGGGTCAGAGCAGTGGTTGGGACATCAGCAGGCCTGTGTTGCCCAGAGCAGTTGCATGGTCTCCAGGCCCTGAGGTGCTCCTGGCTCTCACACTCCCTCTGTTAGTAACTTTTGGTGTTAGCTTTCTCTCTGTTTAGGTAGTCACATCTAACTGCTCCTGGTGAAGTGAAGTTTAAGTAAAACAGTGAACCATTAGGGTCATGTGGCAGTGAGCTGTCGATGTAAAGAGGGACCCTTGTTCCCAGGGGAAGAGCTACATACACAGCCTGTGCAGACCCCAGCCATGGCACATAGGCAGCACAGTCTGGGGTGCACAGGAAAGTGCCCCATTAGTAGGCTGCTGACACTTGAGTCTGAAGGAAAGTTAGTCCCTCAACTGGACAGTCCTGGATGTGAGCATGAGTGGGAAGTAAGTGGTCCTAATGCAGTCACGTGAAATTGCAGTCCGGTGTGCACAATGTCCCTCAAGATTCTGGCTCTGAAACACTGCCCTGCATCAGGGTTCTTGCTGCTGACACCTACGTGCTGAGTCTTCTCGCGGGCAGTCCAGAGGACAGGTGTAGCCAGCGGAGTTCTTAGCCCACAGGTAGACAAGGATGTGGCCTCCCTGTCTTCCCAGAGTGCTGCCTTCGGTGAGGGTGGTTCCCTGCTCTGGCTGCTTTATGACCTACTGCAAGGTCTGACCTTCCCACAAAGTCTTTGAGCAAGTGCTCCAGTGCCTTGAATCTCTGTGTCACCACCTGTCCAAATGTGTCCCTGGTCGAAGTAACTCAGAAAATGTCTGTCAGTGAAGCAGCTCTCGGCACCCAGCACAAAGCCCTGCCCGCAGCACAGAGCTGCAAATTTGTTCTGTTCCCGCTTACGCAGGAAGGGCGTTTGGTGCAATACTACCCTTTCAAAACCTTTAAGGAAGTAGAAACCTGCACCAATTAAATATACATAAGTAAAATTTTACATTAAAGAATAAAATGGAAGAACTAAGCCACCCATTTGGCCACCCATGTGTGGTATTCAGGTTTGTGTTATCTGCCCGTCTGTCAGCAGCTGCTACACAATGAGGCCCATCTACTGGTGAATCTTGATGAAATTTACTTGTGTTTTAACGAGTTACTACCAAATGAGGACAGGTTTATCACCAACAAAATGAGTACTTTTCAGTTCACAATGTTATTACTACTACAAATGATACTGCATTCTTGAATTCAACATGCTGTCCAAAAGTTTATATTGGTCAACAGGTGTTTTGAGACTCTTGTGTACGAAGTATGGGGGTAGAAGCAGAATCTCTGCTATCCAAGGACCTATGGATGAACTATTTCAAAACATGGATGTTTTAAGATATGCGGAAATGCTCTCCCCAACTCAAGGTGCTGCCTGTGATCAGTGTGGACCAATGGACTCCAGCTCTGTGCCCTAACATGTGGGGTGACTGCGTGGACTCTGGAAGGATGCTCTCCCATGCCTGTGGTATACTATTGGAGACTCAGGGTGTCACTTTGAGACTTTGGGTGCAAGGGTAACTGGAAAATGGCTCCAGTAGTCTACCTGTGGAGGCCAGTATAGAGGAGAATTACCCAATTCCTTCCCCAAACCAACAAGCAGCAGAGAACCGGGACCACGCAGGCACTCCTTCTCAGGAGAGGAAAGCTGGGGACACAGACCATGGCCAGCAGCAACCACACTGAACGGCTTCTCTCCTGCCCCAGGACTTCTGTCTTTGTTTTCTCCTGCCTTAGCCTCCCAGAGTACTGGGATTACAAGCAGTGTCATCACAGCTGGCTCCCGTCTCTCACCTTAATTACTGTACACTCAAATCTGTCAGGCTTCGAGAGATTGTGCTTTTACTTTCCCCAAATTAGCCGCGTGGCCTCACATCAAAGTGGGCAGGAAATCCACCCCTGCCACACTCCCGACGTTGGTGAAGAGCTACTTTGGCCAGAAGTGACAGCCTGAGGCCAGGGCTGTGGGGGCACTTGTGTGGCAGGCGCCTCCCACAGCACCTGTGTGTGGGGCAAGCATCAAAACTGTGGAGTGAGGGTGGGGCTGGGGCTGGGGCCTCAGTGCATCACCGAGAGAGGATATGTTAGAACAGTAAGGGGAAGGCAGACTGGCCTCTGTGTTCTTGAAGGGTGGGTTGAATCCGAACAGGTGTAGAAGACAAGGGACATAGACGGAGAGGACACCGAGTTGAGGTGGGTGTTCATTAAGGCTGAGACAGCCAGGTTCATTGTAATGTTGAGTGAGAGCAAGAGAGGAAATCACTGAAAAGTGCTAGAAATTACAGACGTGAGATTATGTGGCCCTTGAGTACCAAAGAGAACCTGTTTTCTAGGAATTGGGAGTAACTGAAGGCTTTCCCCCGTTTCTTTATGTTTAAATACATAGCAGGATCTGTTAAAAGCTGTGCTTATACATTGGTTTTATAGAAAATTTGCACTGACATGAGTGAAATGGGCAGGAAGCTGACAGAGTCTGGGAGGATGACAGGAAGTCCCTTTATTGGGGAGACCTCTTTGTTGGATCCCCTTAGTGGCCACAGAGCATGCAGGGGGCCTCCCAGCCTGCCTTGCAAGCTCTTCTGTCTTCTGACACTGTGCTGGATCCTCTTCAAGGTTCAACAGATGTAGCTTCAGAATCTTGGGGCCCTACGCTGAGTGCAAGCTCTTGTTCCTTTCTGATACCTTTCGATCACAACTTGCTGTGTCTCTCCCATCCTTTTACCAACACGTCCCTTCTTCCTTTGGCATCGCCATGCTCACTTGGAGGGCAAATAAGGTTCTTCAAACCTTTTAGTCCTGGTTCAACTACAAGTCTTCCTGTGGGGCGTGCGCCGTGGGTTGAGCACAGCACAGTCAGGGTGAGTGGCACCCAGAGGCCCTGACTTGTGAGCTGCCCTTTACTGGCGCTGTGAGCCCCCATCATGTCAGCCCAGGCCAGGACAAAGCCACGTGACCAGAAGTGGATGAGCGATGGAAGCAGGGCCAGGCCCTGCGTAAACCCAAGCCTCTAAGCTGGCTCCCTACTGTACTGTCTTTCTCTTTTCCACTGTGTTGCTGGCCTGCTTTCCCTTCCCGTGGACGCAAGGCCCATGACAGCCTGGCCTCTGCCGTGTCCACCCCATGGATGCACTCACCACTGCAGACTGTTCTCTGCCTGCCCTCTTGCTCCGCGTGCCATGGTGGAAACCATGATCTGTCTTGTAGCTTCTTTCCTTCGTGCCCATTGCACTGCATCTTCTGATTTCTTGGTGCCAACATTTTGACCTTTGCTGGCTCTTTTCGCGCTCTACTCCCACACTTAGGCTCACCTTGGGACTGTACCGTTAGCATATTTCCTTTCATTTTTATAATTTTCCTCCCACTGATCTCATCAGCTTCCATGATTTTGACTCCAAGATTTAAAAAATACCTTTTGTTTACGTGCCGTGGTTCAGATTTAAATGTTGCCAAGTCTCTTGTGTTCGGAGGTGGGGCTTTTAGAAAGTGACTGGTTCCTGGAGGTGTGGTGCTTGTCAGTGGATTCGTCCATGGTGAGTTCTTAGCTGAAAGTGCTGCTAGGAGGTGGTTCCCGCCTGGAGGTGTCACTGGGCAGAACCTGGAAGGGTGTGTTCTCGTCCCCAGGTCTTTCCCCTCTCTCTGCTTCCTGGCTGCCATGGGATGCATGACTTTCCACCACCAGGACCTTCAGCTATGCTGCTCTGCCTTGGTGCCAACCAACAATGATCTGAACCTTCTCAACCCATAAGGCAAAGTGAATTCCCCTTTTAATTGTGGCTGTCAGGTATTTTGTCTCAGCAATGAGCACATGACTAATGCAACATGTATTAATCATACATTTTTATGGGGTTTAGTATAATATTTGTACACACGTGTGTAATGTGCACTGGGCAGACACAGCCTCCTTTTATCAATGCTGCCCTCTTTTCTCTGCCACTAATAGTTGTTAATCAAATCTACGTTGACTTTTTTGTTTGTTGTTTTTATCTTTCACATGTGGGAGAGGACACGCAGAACTTGTCTTTCTGTGTCCATTTAATATAGTGTTCTCCAGTTCCATTTATTCTGCTGTCAATGACAAGACTTCGTTCTTCTTGATGGCTGAATAATACTCCATTGTGTGTATATACCGAAGCTCCTTTATCCACTCACCCATTGATGCGAACCCAGGCTGATTCTGTCTTGGCCATTGTGAACAGTGGTGCAGTAAACATGGATGTGCAGGTTTCTCTTTGGAGTGCTGACTTCCTTCCCTTTTATACACTCAGGATGAGACTGTTGGATCATGTGGTAGTTCTAGTTCCATTTTCTGAAGAACAAAAAATGTTCTCCATAATGGCTGTACTAATATTTATTCTTACCAACAGAGGATAAAGATTCCTTTTGTACTACTTTCTTGCCAACATTTGTTAATTTTTGTTTTTTGATAATAGCTATTCTGAGGTGAGATGATATCTCCTTGTAGTTTTGATTTATATTGCCTCAGTTGCTAGGGATATTGAGTGCTTTTTGTATGTTTTTGTCAAGGG